GGCCTGATGTGAAATCGGGCGTGTCCCTCTACAGAAGGAATGTATCCAAAAATGCTCCACAGCAAATCGTCAGCATACGTTTTCTGTAGAAAAATACGTAGCACCCCGCAGTTGCTGATAAGAGTGAGGGGGCGGCGGGGACGTCGGCAGCCTGCGAGGCTTTGAAGAAGCCCGCCGCAGGCTTTCAAGCTGTGCAACGAGCCCGCCGCAAGCGCCTCTTTTTTGTGAAAACCAGTGTTGGTGGGTCTCGGGCTGGGTCGCAGTTGGGTCGCGGGTGGGTCGACGGTGGGTCGCGGGTGGGTCGCGGGCCGGGTCAGGGGTGGGTCGCGGGTGGGTCGCGGGTGGGTCGCGGGGTTGGTCGCGGGTGGGTCGCGGTTGGGTCGCGGGTTGGGTCGCGAGGTGGGTCGCGACGTGGGTCTCGGGAGGGTCGCGGGACGGGTCGCGGGGGGGACGATGACAACAACAACAACAACAACAACAAGCAGAATCCTCACCACGGATCTGCGCTTCAGCCACGCACCCAGGGACAATGAATGACCGTTCGGTCCCCTCACTCGGATTTTTGATCATTACCTAACAGCGAAGACTGATAGGTTTCTAGTGGTGTCAAAAGAGAGCATCTTGACGCCCCAGGGGGGTCCGGGCAGGATCCGGGGAGAAGCCGCGGAAGCCGATTTAAGCAAACAGTTACACATTTTGTGGTCTTCGAGGTCCCAGAATCCCATTCCTGGGCATGATTTTGAATGCCTGGAGCCAACTGTAGGCCACTTCGTGGTCTTCGAATTCCCAGAACTCTATTCCCGGGCCACATTTTGAATGCCCGGAGCCAATGTAGGCCACTTCGTGGTCTTCGAGTTCCCAGAACTCCATTCCTGGGCATGATTTTGAATGCCCGGAGCCAACTGTAGGCCACTTCGTGGTCTTCGAGTTCCCAGAACTCCATTCCTGGGCATGATTTTGAATGCCCGGAGCCAACTGTAGGCCACTTCGTGTTCTTCGAGTTCCCAGAATTCCATTCCCGGGCCACATCTTGAATGCTGAGGCAGCTGATGCTGAGGCTGAGGCAGGCTGAGGCTGAGGCAGGCTGAGGCTGAGGCCGAGGCTGAAGGCAGACTGAGGCTGAGGCTGAAGCAGGCTGAGGCTGAGGCTGAGGCAGCTGAGGCTGAGGCTGAGGCAGGCTGATGCTGAGGCAGGCTGAGGCTGAGGCTGAGGCTGATGCAGGCTGAGGCTGAGGCAGGCTGAGGCTGAGGCCGAGGCTGAAGGCAGACTGAGGCTGAGGCTGAAGCAGGCTGAGGCTGAGGCTGAGGCTGAGGCTGAGGCTGAGGCTGAGGCTGAGGCAGGCTGATGCTGAGGCAGGCTGAGGCTGAGGCTGAGGCTGATGCAGGCTGAGGCTGAGGCAGGCTGAGGCTGAGGCCGAGGCTGAAGGCAGACTGAGGCTGAGGCTGAAGCAGGCTGAGGCTGAGGCTGAGGCAGGCTGAGGCTGAGGCTGAGGCAGGCTGATGCTGAGGCAGGCTGAGGCTGAGGCTGAGGCTGATGCAGGCTGAGGCTGAGGCAGGCTGAGGCTGAGGCCGAGGCTGAAGGCAGACTGAGGCTGAGGCTGAAGCAGGCTGAGGCTGAGGCTGAGGCAGGCTGAGGCTGAGGCTGAGGCAGGCTGATGCTGAGGCAGGCTGAGGCTGAGGCTGAGGCTGATGCAGGCTGAGGCTGAGGCAGGCTGAGGCTGAGGCCGAGGCTGAAGGCAGACTGAGGCTGAGGCTGAAGCAGGCTGAGGCTGAGGCTGAGGCTGAGGCTGAGGCTGAGGCTGAGGCAGGCTGAGGCTGAGGCAGGCTGAGGCTGAGGCTGAGGCTGAGGCAGGCTCAGGCTGAGGCAGGCTGAGGCTGAGGCTGAGGCTAAGGCTGCAGGCAGACTGAGGCTGAGGCTGAAGCAGGCTGAGGCTGAGGCTGAGGCAGGCTGAGGCTGAGGCAGGCTGAGGCTGATGCTGAGGCAGGCTGAGGCTGAGGCTGAGGCTGATGCAGGCCACTGCGACTGTCATCGCGAATGCGACTACGACTGCGAGACCAGCAGACTTCTACAACTGGATTCTCATCTGAATCTTGAGGGGAATGCTTCCGGATATGCTCCTACACATCGCTGTTAGGTTGCTTTGCCGGGATAAGATTTGTGGTGTATGTGTTTTGATTATTTTCTATTCGCCGTCCAAAATCCGCCTGTAGGGGGGCACGCCCGACCTGAGCCTGAGGTCTTCCTCAGTCCTCGGCCCCCTCTCCTGCTTCCTCCCTCGCGCGGCGGGTCTCCCTAGGCCCTCGGCTCCCTCCTCGAGCCTCGAGGTTTTCTGCTCGGCCCTCGGCCCCCATCCTCGCTCCTCGAGGTTATCCTCCTCCTCCTCCTCCTCCTCCCCCTCCTCCCCCTCCTCCTCCACCTCCTCCATCCCTTTTCCTTATACCTAACTTGTCCGTGGACCAGTTTTTAGGGAGGGCCGGGCGTTTCGCCTGAGACTTCCTCACCATGTATGATTCTGAAGCGAAGAAATTGGCTACAGTTTCACAGATGGAGGGCGGGTCGTTTTCAACATGTGGTTCTCGCCTTGGCGCGGCGCGCATTCGGCTTAAGAATGTGCAACAGCTTCACAGATTGAGGGCGGGTGATTTTCAAAATGTGGGTCTCGTCTCGCCTTAGCGCGGCGCACATTCGGTTTAAACATTTGCAAGAGTTTCACTGATTGAGGGCGAGTCGTTTTCAAAATGTGGCTCTCGCGTTACCGCGGCGCACATCAGTTTCTTTAAGCACATCCGTTTATAACATTTGTAAGAGTTTCACGGATTTCCCAACATCCACGTACCAGAAATTATGTGTTGGAAGGATTCAGGATTATACGGGCGCAGCAGTTATTGTGATTCGCTGTATTGCAGTCCTAGGAATGGCGTTCTGGCACGATTCAGGATCGTCAAGACGCATCAGTCAGGTTGATCCGTGGCGTTGGAATCCCGAGAACAATGTCTTGGCATGCCTCTGGGTCTTCAAACGGGCGTCTTCCAACGAGGCAGGTCCATCAATGGAAATGAGCCGTTGTAGAGGCCTGTGAAAAGGGAAGTTTTGAGGGAGGGTTTGCTCCAACCTCGTTGATGACTCTCGGGTTTACACTGGTCCTCCTCGTCCTCGTCCTCGTCCTCCTCCTCCTCCTCCTCCTCCTCCTTCTCCTTCGACCATCTGGGCCTACGGCCTCCGCGGGGCCGGGGCCTCTGGGCCGCGGCCCCGCGGAGGATGATGTGGGGGGCGTTTTTTTGCTGTTCCGCGGCTGCCCCGCGAAAAGAGCGCGTCCGTGCGACTGCGTGTCGGCGGGATTGCGTACTGGATACGGATATGTTCGCCGCTCGTAATCCTGGGTACCCCGAGTTTCTTAATACGCGTCGGGGGGGCGTCACCCCCGCCGACAGCCCCGAATCGACCCCCGTCGCGGGCAGCCACCGCGCGCCGAAGGCGCTCCGACCCCCGTTGCGGCGCGACGACGAGGCGAGGTTGACCCCCGTCGGGGGCTTACCTCCCCACGCTTATTAAGAAACCCAGAGTAGCCCGCGCGCGCGCGACCGACGCCCGAGGATCGTCGTGGTCGCTGTGGCCATAGCCCCTGCAGATCCAACAGACAACCGACGATGATCGCTGGGCGGGATATAGTGGGGGCCCATACCAAGAAACACCCTGCTTGCCCCCAGGGTGCCCTCGGTTCCTTGTGTTTCGATGGTTTTGCGATGGGGAGCGTGACGTTTCCACACCGAAATTGCATGAACGCTCTGGGGTCTCAGGGTTGGGTTCCTTGTGGAAGGTTTCTTGTGGTCGGGACCCTAGTGTATGCTTAGGGGGGAATCGCATCGACCTCCAAAACACCCAATCATGGCCGATAGGGGCCTGATAGCCAGCCCCGCCATCAACCTGCGGTTTCGCCACCGTGGGCCTGTCGCCGATTTGTCGGCGATGTATCGCCAAATCAAGCAAGCTAGACGCCCCCCCCCCCCCCGACCTGGTTCCCCTAGCGTTCCAGTCGTTCACCTTCATTGTCGGGCTCAGGGGATCCGGCATGCACATGATCTGGGGGCGCCCTGGCCTCAGCGCTAGCCGCTGCTCCCTCGTCCATCACCTCTCGGCTGACTGCGACCTTGAACGAGGGCCATTCCTACGATTTGCCCAGGGTGCTGTCGACAGGAGGAAAAGATCTCCTAAACTTGCTCATGGCCTCGCATGGGCAATGTGGATTAGCCGTCGTTTTGGATCACGATTGCGATAAGTAGGGTGGGAATTGGGCCGGGTGTCCCGAGTGTTTCCATGATCGGGTTGCGAATGGTACGGCGTTGCAGGTCTCCGGTGTTATTATTTGCCCTGCCGCGGCCAGATCGAGCGTTCATGTTCTCCCCCAGTCGTCAGCACCACCATCACGATTACCCATCATAATCTGGGACCGTTCGACGTCTTGGCAATGAGTGTTCTTGGAAGCTTGATGCACTTGACCTGGCCGAAATCTGGATTCACACGTGGCCAGATGCCCTTCCAGCACTCGGCCCTTTATGGCTGGTTACGCTAGATCTCAGCATTCATATCCAGCGCATTGCCTCTGGACGTTCCACATGTGAAACCAGCCATGTGTGTTTCTAGTTTCCTGGTAGTCGCTGGCCATTTTTACGGAGGCTCGGTCGGAGCGTCCACGAGGATGATCGGGAAGAACATGCATCAACATCACTACGATCCATTCGACTCAGGCCATAAATCAAGCCCCGCCACATCATTCATTCATCACCCTCCTGCTCGCCATCGTCGTCATTGCCATGTATAAGTATCTCTTGTCAGAACCCACTCCTTCAACGTGGAATGAGACTGAGGATTATAGCCCCATCACCGGCACCATCCTCCTCATCCTCATCCTCCTCCTCATCACCACCGTCGTTGTCGTCAACGTCTTCGTCGCGGCCGCCATCACCATCGCGATCGGGCCCTCGCGCGGCGTCTCCGTCGCCAGCCTGGGCTCATGGCCCGGCCCCCGCGGCGCGCCGCGTAGCCGCAGGGCCCTTCGCGGGGGGGGGGGGGGGAACATGGCGGAAGGGTCGGACGTTCCTTCATGGGGGATTGGGGGGGGGGGGGGGGGGGGTCGAGGGTTGGCAGGCAAGCTGGCGCCACGGGGGCCAACGAGAGGGGCTCTGCGGCCCCGAAGAGAGGCACGAGAGGGGCGCCCCTGTCCCCCCCCTCCCCCCCTCCCCCCCCGCGCCGGCTGCCCACCCGTGAAGCAGCGACCGAATGGGGCGGGGGGTGTCGGCCGGAAGGCGGAGGCGGGGCGCCCGCCGCTCGCCGGCCGCGGCAGGTGGCAGCCCAGGGGGGGGGGACGCGAGGAGGGGGTCGAGGGAGGAGGAGGAGGAGGAGGAGGAGGAGGAGGAGGAGGGAGAAGGAGGAGGGGGAGGAGGAGGGGTCGAGGGAGGAGGAGGAGGAGGAGGAGGAGGAGGAGGAGGAGGAGGAGGAGGAGGACCTCCCCCCCGCCTTCTCCCCAATGTCCAAGCGCCGAAAAAAAAACGCTCACCTGGAGCCCGCGCGGCATGCACTGGGATCCACCGGCAGCGGCGCCGAAGTCCACCGAGGCAGCGCCTCCCGGCGCGCCGGCTCTCTGGCTCGCCGGAGGCGCGCCAGCTCCAGGGGGCCAGCGCGCCGACCCGAGTCCCTCTACAGGCGGAGTATGTCAAAAAATGCTATACACCTTAGGCGATGCTTAAGAAAACCTAAGTTTTCGTCCAGAGTCTCGATTATTCTTAACTTTTCAATGTAAATCCTAAGATTTGAACGGGAATTTTGGGTTCTTATTCAAGTTCTGAGACTATGAATTTCTTAACCCATGATTTCTTAAGCATTTCGCAGGGTGTAGGGACTTTTTGTTTAGCATGCTCTAGCTATTGGGAATGTTCAAAGATAGGAGCAAATCCTACAGGGAGTTTGTGTTTAGCCTGTGTTGGCTATCTGGGAGTACTGCTTTGCATTTGTTGTCCAACATTTCCCTGTAGGGGGGCACGCCCGACTTCAGCTTCCGCCATGCACGCGTTGCTCGATGACTCACCGCCCACGAAACCACCCCAACCCAACCCGAAGGCCCCGATTTGCCCTTCATTTCCAACGGGGGGGGGTCGGGGAACAGATGAAAAAACACGTATGGAGCCCGTACCCCCCCCCAACCCGAAATTCGGGTCTTCGGGTTGGGTTGGGGTGGTCTGGTGGGTAGTCAGTGGCAGCGCTGAGGCCCGAGACCTCGACCTCGGGGGGTGTCCGCGAGGGGGCGAGGACTAGGACTAGGAGTGAGTGAGTGAGTGAGTGTGTCTGTGTGTTTGTGTGTTATGTGTATACATATATATATACACATATACGTGTGTGTAAGTGTGTGTAAAGTGTGTGTAAAGTGTGTGTAACGTGTGCGTGTGTGTGTAAAGTGCGTGTAAATGTGTGTAAGTGTGTGTAAGTGTGTGTAAGTGTGTGTGTGTGTAAGTGTGTGTAAGTGTGTGTGTGTATGTATGTGTGTGTGTGCGTGTGCGTGTGCGTGTGCGTGTGCGTGTGTGTGTGTGTGTGCGCGTGTGTGTGTGTGGTGTGTGTGTGTGTGGATCTCTCGGCTGGGCCGTGAAACTTCCAGATGTCATGGCCGTCTCTTCGCATTTCAATGCGTCCCCTGGCCCTCCTGTCGTCCGCGCACATGCCTCGGACAAGGAAGCGCTAACGCCCCCCTCCTCCAGGGCGAACCTACAGGAGACATGCCGGGACAGGACACCCCAATCCGCTGGACCCAGGAATCCAGTGCACCAGCTTCTTTGGGAGATGCCCCCCCTGGACATGTCGACTCCTTCCCCCGGAGATGAAGGGATGAGAGAAACGGACAGGGAGAGAGAGAGAGAGAGAGAGAGAGAGACAGGGAGCATACCCATAAACATATATATATAGACACGTATGTACATATAGACATCAAGGGAGGGAGACAAAGGAATTACGTTATATACATATATATATATATATAGATATCGAGAGCGAGAGGGAGATAGCGAGAGAGGGAGAGAGAGAAGACACAATGTAAAGAGAGAGAGAGAGAGACAACACAAACATGATAAAGACACTGAAAGAGAGAGAGAGAGAGAGAGAGAGGGACAGAGAGAGAGAGAGAAAGAGAGACAGAGAGCGGAGAGGGGGAAAGAGGAGGAGCAGGGGAGCAGTGAAGGAGGAGAAGAGGCGGCAGTGGAGGAGGCAAGGAGGCAGAAAGGGGGGAAGAGAGGGAGGAGGGCGGGCACGAGGCAGAATGGGAGGCAGGCAGAGAGGGGAGCGCGGGACGCGGGAGATGGGAAGGCCGGGAGGAGGGAGACACAGCCCCTCGACCCTGAGGGGACCCCGGGCCCGGAGCCGGGCGGCCGAGGCCCACGATCGGGGTCAACGGCAGGGGTAAGCCGGGCCTGTCCCCCTGCAGGGGGAATACAGAGGGGGCGCGCGTCAAGGAACCGTCCACTTTTCGTCAGGGTGCCCCTGGGTCAGAGCCCCGAATCATCAGGGGTAACTCGGGTCAGGGCTAACTCGGGTTCGTTTTTCGGGAATCCGGACCCGACTTACCCCGGACCCGAGTTACCCCGGATAACTCGGGCGCCCAGAGCCCCGAATCATCAGGGGTAACTCGGGTCAGGGATAACTCGGGTTCCTTTTTCGGGAATCCAAACCCGAGTTACCCTGGACCCGAGTTACCCCGGATAACTCGGGCGCCCAACTGGGTTTCTTCGCTCCGCGCGGTGCGCGGTGGCTTCCCGCGGCCGTTGGAGGAGCTGCTGCGTTCGGGGTGCTCCGGGTTTCCCCTCAGTTGCACCTCGCGCGCGGGTTTCAGGGTTGGGTTTCTTGCGAGGGTTGCTTGCGACCGCGCCCGCATTGTATTCCAAAGTAGTCGAAAATTAGTCTGGGGACGATTTTAGAGTATTTTTTACAATGTTTGAATATTTGTCGTGGTCTTTGTTATTTTTCGTCCAAAATCCGCCTGCAGGGGGACATGCCCGACCCAGCGATAGGGGGGAGGGATAGGCATGGGGGGGATGCAATGACCCCCAGTCGCCACTTCATCGCCGATATGGGGCCGGATAGCCCCAGCCTGCCCAGGAAGATGCCGATTCACGATCGGAGGCCTATCGCCGATCTATCGACGATGCATCGCCGATGCCAGCTCGATGCGTCCCCCCAGATGCCAGTCCCCCCCTATCGTTGCCCCTCGCACGATGGCCCGAAGCACCTCCGTCTTGAGTCGTCCCGATCGCCAGGACGCCCAGGGAGGTCCAGGGCGGCGTCGGCGTCGGCGGGGCGGGCGGCCGCGCTTCGCCTTCGGCTGCCCCCCCCACCCACCCCTCGTCCGCGTCGGGGAGCCGCAAGGCAGACGAGCCCCAACTGGGGGGGCTGTGGTCCTCACCCCGCACGGGGAGACACCATCGGCTTGGACGACGACTCTCTCTCTCTCTCTCTCGCTCTCTCTCTCTCTCTCTCTCTCTCCCCCTCAGCGTGTCTCTCTTTGAGAGAGAGGGGGGGGGTAATTTCTACATATCTATATATATAGGTATGTATGTATGTGTGTGTGCACCAGACTGCAATGGCGCGTCGCGCCATGCGCCTTGTTCCGGACACGTCAACGGCAAAACAATAAATCATCGCTTGCTTCAGCAGGGGGGACCTCGAGGCCTGGACGGGCGACCGGCTCATTTGTCTGATATCCCTGGTGTTTGCTGACACCGCGTTCTCCCGGATGTGCTTGCACGCTTGTGCGCAGGAGTGGGAGATCGACGCTGATTTTTTCACGCGCGAAGGTCCTTTGAGGAAGTAAGGGGCATTCCCATGACACGCCGAAGAAGTCGCAGCAGCTCCGAACAAATCGATTTCCAGTCGCTCCCCGGATGCCTGGAGGGCTCCAGGCACTCAGGAAATCTTCGATCGTCGAACTTATGTAAACCTCGAGCCTCAAGCGTGGAACTAAGATCTTCGGGTCAGCTCGATGTACTTCGTAGGAGAACGACGTCTGAATGTTTCGGGGGCTCTCTTGGGCCGTCCTGGGGCCCTCTTGGGCCGTCCTGGGGCATTGCTGGGCCGTTTTGAGGAGCTGGAGCCCCCCCGAGGTTTTCTGAAGCCATCTAGGGGCTTCTTGTGGGCCTCCACTGGCTTTCTTGGGGGTCTGGTCTCCCATGGCGTTCGTGGGTCTCTCTTGGGAGCCTTGTGGGGGCAGTTTGGGTTTTTTTGAGGGCGGGGTTTTCTGGGGCAGTCTTGGGGCCCTCCGTCTTCAAACCCTCTGAGGGGCCTCTTGGGCCGTCTTGGGGCGATATCGGGGGCCCATCGGGCCGTCTTGGACGCTGCGAAGACCCAAAAAGCGGAGATGCTAAATCTACATTTTCTTTTGGGAATGGGACGAATGTTCTTCTTCGGGGCTCCCATAACGGCCTCTTAGGGCGTCTTGGGGGCCTCCTGGGCCGTCTTCAGACCATCGAGGTTCCTCTTGGAGCGCTCTTGTGCTGTCTTGGGTCTCCGTTGCGCCTCCCCGATGACCCTTCTGATCGCTTAGGGTCTGCTCGCAAGGCCTGGCAGGGTGCCCTGGGGGGGGCCCGAAGAGCCAGCGGGCCTTTTTCCAAGGATGTCCAGGGGGCCGCCGAGGCGTCTGAAAGGGCGTCCGGCGCTTCCCTGGGGGGAGTCGCGGTTTAGGGGGGGTCCGGGTAATGAAAATATAGAAATATGAATATAGCAATAGAGAGACAGAGAGAGAGAGAGAGAGAGACAGACAGACAGAGAAAGAGAGAGACAGAGAGAGAGAGAGTGATATCGTAGATGCGATGGGCTCTCCCCAGGGGCTACGAGCCCAGACCCCCGACGTCGTGGCTTGTTCGGAGCGTGGACCCCCCGAAATTTGGGCTCCTTCCACGGGGCTGGTGTTTTATCCCAGGCAGCTGTTTTCACGATGCTGGGGCCCGGTGAGGGCCCCAAGCGGCCGAGGCCGACACTGTCGGCCGGCTGCACGCAGAAAGAGCGGTTCTTCGCCCGAGTGACCGGTGGTGCTCGGCCTTCGGAGAGCGCACGAGGCGGGGGAGGAGGAGGGGGAACAGGAGGAGGAGGAGGAGGAGGAGGAGGAGGAGGAGGAGGAGGAGGAGGAGGAGGAGAAGAAGGGGGAAACAGGAAGAGAGGAGGGAGAGGAGGAGGAGGAGGAGGAGGAGGAGGAGGACGACGACGGGGAGGAGGAGGAGGAGGACGAGGAGGAGGAGAGAGGAGGAGGAGGACGAGGAGGAGGAGGGAGGAGGAGGGAGGGGGGAGGAGGAGGAGGGGGATGAGGGAAGGAGGAGGGGGAAGGAGGGGGGGGAAGGGGAGGAGGGGGGAGGAGGGGGGGGCAGGTCGCCGCCGCCGCATCACATGCGGCGATCGGGAAGCCGCGCACCAAGAGGTCACTCATGCCCAGGGCCGTTCTTCCGTGGGTGGCCGATCCACTTTTTCGGCGGCTCCTGCTCACGACGTAGACGGGGTCTGGACACGCGCAGTGGCCCACGGCACAGCTGTGGCTGGTCGGTCAGGGGGGCGGCGCGGGCGGGGCTGGCGCCGCGGACGCCCCGTCGGGGGCTGCAGGAGGCTCCAGCGCTGCGGTCGCGATTGGCCGCCCCAAGGGCCCGGAGGGGTCCCGGGAGCGGCAGGTCAGGCTTTCCAGAGTCATCGGGGCCGTCCCAGCGGGGGTGAGGACTGGGGCAGTGCGGATATCATGGGGAGGGCCATGAAGTCCCCAAGAGTTCACGACCCCCTGCTCTCCTCTGACGACGTCCATTGGCCCCTCTTCGGCCGCGCACAGTGTTCGAGCCATGATGCGCCACACCCCCTCTTCAGCGCATCCCAAAGGAAGGGTGTCCGCGGTTCGGTCGGATCAGCTGCGTCGCTGCCAGTTCGTCGTCGATTGTCGCTTCGCCGCTGCGCTCTGCTAGTCCGTTCGCGGGCCCTCGTGGCCCTGTCTATTTCGATCGGTTTTCAGTTTGTCTTGTTGGTTCGGTGGGTTTCCGATGATGCTGTCCTCGTGGACGACCTTGCTTGGACACTGCCAAATCTACAGCCGGGCTGAGCTATCATGAAGCCTTCCCCCCGTGCGAAGGATTCGCTTTCTTTGCGGGAGCAAAAGGGCTGATGCGGGAAAGTGCAACGGCCCATTGGCCATCCCCACAAGATTCGCCACTTCAGTTTTCCTTGCGGGAGCAATGGGATCGATTTTGTGGGAACGTGGAACGGACCATCGCCCACGAACACGTGTCAAACTTCTCGCTCTTTGTGGAAGTATTGTCTGGCCTAGGAGTCACTGGAACCCTCAGCGGCCAGCGCCAAAACCCCTTCTCGCAACCGTGGGCGGAGGATGCCAGAGGAGAAAGAGGTCATGATGATGCTAGGCTCCAAGACTTGAAGAAAGTAAGCAACACCTCTCGGGGGTCCGCACGGTTCTGTTGGCTCGGCGTTGGACCACCTCGCTTTGCGCGCGAAGCACGCAAGAGGCGGCGCCAGAGGTCCCACCGCGCCGGCGGAGACACCGACCTCCTCGGACTTGTGAAAGCTCTTGCCATCAAGAGGAGGGGTCCTGAGGGCAACGAGTCTTGCAGAACCCAGGGCCGCACGCTCGTTCGCGCGTGCCTGGGACGGAAAACGACCTCCGGGGAAGCGGTCGGGACCTCTGGCGCGAAGGACTGAAAAACCAGATCGGAGGATTCTGGGGAGTCCTCCATCCTGAGTCGTTGTGTGACGGAGCGTGTCTGGGGCCCCTTTCTGTAAAGCCCGCTTTCTTGTGTCTGGGGTCCCTGTCTTGTGAATTGAAGAACGTGTCTGGGGCCCCTTTCTTGTAAAGCCCGCTTTCCTCGGGCTGAAGTTTATGATTACACGGCCACTCTCCATCGCAGGTGAGCTGGGAGAGAAAGGCTGAAGCAGTGCATCACTACGGCTGCCAAGGTGTGGCGCTAGCAGCCCGCTTTCCTGCAACCCTCCAGGGCTCAATCGATGGATGGCTTGAAATGGGATCAATAAAGATGTCGACAAGGAAATCGACCAGGAACCCGGGAACCCGGAACCCACCGACATCTGCCCGGAACCACTACAACCAGGAACCTTGGAACCCGGAACCCGGGAACCCGGGAACCCAGCCGGCCACCAAGAATCGGCGGGACACCCTCGCCAAAGCTGTCGATTTCTGCCAGGATCCTTTCAGTGCAAGCACTGATCGGGGAAAATAGCAGCCAGCTCCTGGCGCTTCTCGTCGCTGCCCGACCGCTGGAGGGTCTGCCTCCACCTTCCAGAGTGGTAGGAAATACAGCGAGCGGCTTTAATAAGGAAGACTTACTTTTCAAAAGGGGCTCGTTCCTTCGTTTTGCATGCGTTATGTATCGTTCCGTTTGCGTTATTTGTTATGTTTCGTTCCTCATGCGTTATTCCTAAGAAAATGGGGCTCCGTTCCTTATGTATCGTTCCTTCAGTCAGGCCGATGACTGTAACCCTCCAGACCTGTAGACCGATCAGGACTGCTTACAAAACCTCGACCCGATATTATGTCCAAACGTCCTGGCATTGCCTTTGCCCTCCCTGAAGGTCAGCCAGGCAGGCCCAGGATGAAGGATGCATCGATCCCGGGCGCCTGGAACGCTCTCAGAGGAATCTGGAGCGATCCTAAGCGGCCGCTCTCAGAGACTCCCGATGGATCTGGATCCGAAGTTTCCTTGTCAGGGGAGGGAAAGCCACCCGGACCCTATTATTGGCGTTTACTAAACGGCCCTGGGCGTTTCTTGAACAGCCCTGCCCTGTTCGAGTCCTTCTTTGGGCGCGTTTACCAGACGGCTTCGCCTGTCAGGGTGATTATTATGAGGGTGGATTTTCTGCTCTCTGTTCATCCTGCCTTCGTGTCAGTTGGGGCACCTGGTTGACTCCTGAGCTCCCCCCCTGCCCGCGACCTGGGTGGCCAAGCGGGACCGCGGCTCCCGCAGCGGCGGCCCCGCGCGCAAGAGCGGCAAGGGGGCCGCGTCGACCGGGGTGGAGCAGGAGCGCCTCCCTCGGGGCTCAAGAGAGGGGGGTCAACGCAAGCGGGGGTCAGTCAGAGCGCCGGATCGTGCAGGATCCTGCAGGGCCAGTGGCGCACCGACCTGGGCTTGGGTGCAGCATCCTGCAGAACTTTGTAGGCTCTTGCAAGGCCTGACTGACCCGGGTTGGGATTGACCCGGGTCAGTAGATCCCCGAGTCCCCCTCGGTCAAGGGCATAGAAAACGCCCCTACCCTGGTTTACGAGGCGCTGTGCGCTGAAACTCCTGTGGGCTGACAGGGTAAACCCTGCTTGATGTCCGGCGTCCTGGCTGCTCTCTAGGCTTTGGGGGTTCCCAGGAGGTTTACAGACCACGCATTTGTAATCCAGGGTGGGGTCGTTTTTCCATCCCTCAACTCGGATGTTTTTTGTCGGATATAAAAATGCTGCACAGCTTGGGTGGGGGCGCGAAGAGAATTGTGCGTCGGGCGTCGCGGTCTAGGCCAGAGCAGCTGCCCTTCTCCAGCGGGGCGGCACGGGGGCGCGATTGCGCGGCGATGCTCGCGCATCGCAGGGCGCGCTGCGCGAGTCCAGGATTAGGTCGGGCGTGTCCTTCTACAGGAGGAAAATTCAGAAATAGTCAAGAAATAGTCTGGGGACGATGTTTGGAGAAGTTTTTGCCTATAGTTGAACATGTGTTCGACTATTTCTGAGCACTTTTGTTTGTCAATACTTTGAATATTTGTCCTCCAGAATGCGCCTGTAGGGGGACACGCCCGACCTAAATCTGGGGAACCCAGGTCCGCATGGCCAAAACGGCAGAAACATACGCCTTGGGAGGAGGAGGAGGAGGAGGAGGAGGAGGCGGAGGAGGCGGAGGAGGAGGAGAGGAGAAGGAGAGGAGGAGGGGGGGAGGAGGAGAGAGAGAGAAGGAGGAGAGGAGGAGGAGGATGGAGGAGGAGGAGGAGGAGCAGCTGGGTCGCCCTATGGGGACGGCGCTGGGCCTGCCCCGGCGGCGCCCCCATGCACTAGCGCCGCACCTCGTGCGCCCACCGCGCGCCTGGCGCCTGGGCGGCCCAGCGCCGTCCCCATAGGGCAATCCAGCTCCTCCTTCCTCCTCCTCCTCCTCCCCTCCTCCTCCTCCTCCTCCTCCTCCTTCCTCCTTCTCCTCCTCCTCCTCCTCCTCCTCCTCCTCCTTCTCCTGCTCCTCCTCCTCCTCCCAAGGCGCATGTTTCTGCCGTCTTGGCCATTGCGTTCAGGAGGATTTCGGATGGGTGCCTGAGGCTTCCCGAGGTCCTCATTCATATGGGTTGTCGTCCCGGCAGCCGCGCCTCGCCGAGGGGATGCTGGGGCCATCCGGAGCGGCCCTCTCTGACCCGACCGTGGTGAGGGAGTTCAGTTCAAGTTCAGGCCCAGACCCCCGACGTCATGATTTTTCATAACGTCGACCCACAGAGGTCTCGACCCATCATTCCCCCAGGACCAGTTTTTTAATCTTGAGTTGTTCTTGACAGTTCCGAGGCCCGGTGAGGGCCCCCGGAGACCGAACGTAACAATAAATGTCCGGTCCCGATTTTATCATCTTTCGAGGGGGTGTGTGGGGGGGGCCGTCGTCCTGGAGCCCTCACAGGCTTGCTGGGGCGCTGGGAGGTGTCCGGGCCAGGGGATTTGCTGGGCCCCAGAGCTCCGACGGCGAGATATGTTGTTCGCAAGTGGACCCCCAGAGGTCTATAGACCGCTCCCCCAGGGCTTGCTTCTCATCCCAAGTAGTTTTGTGACGCTCGTGGGGGCTGGTGAGGGCCCCCGGGGGGAAAATGGGCCAAACCGGCGCGCCGCGAGCTTTCACAATGGAAGTGGAGGGTTCAGCGTGGCTCCACGGACTTGTGGGTGGGGGGAAGGGCCTCCCCCTGGCCCAGGGCAGGGCAGCAGGATGCTGGGCACAAGAGGCCAGCCAAAATTCACCCGCTCGGACCTCGGCCGGGGCGAGTGCCGGGCCTATACGGTGTGGGTGTGCAGCCCCCAATCGCACAGTCATCGCCGATCGGGGCATGTTATCCCACCCCGCCCAAGAACGTGCGGTTTTGCGATCGTGGGCATGTCGCCGATCCATCGGCGATGTTTCGCCGATTCCAGGTTGATGTTTTCCCTTCCTGGGAGCCGGTCGCCGCCGGTTGGTGGCCAGGATGGCGCGTGCACCGATATTGGGCCAGCGTTAAGTCGGGTCTATCCCTCTACAGGAGGAAGATTGAAAAATAGTCAAGAAATAGTCTGGGGACGAATTTGGAGCTATTTCGAACCATTTTGGAGCATCTTTGGAGTATTTTCATCTTCGTCCAAAATCCCCCTGTAGGGGGACAGGCCCGACTTAAGGCCGGTGTTCGGCCTGGCCAGGATCGGTCCCGCTGGAGGAAGTTGGCGCCTCCCGACTCTGCCTGGAGGGCCAGCTGCACGTCAGCTTGCCCCCCTGGGCGGGGGGCCAGGTGCACGTGCGGCCGCATGTCTTTGCAGCGCTAGGCCCTCGGGTGGACGGGTGACTACCCTGGCCCTCCGCACGTGTGCCCCGCGATTGGTCTCCGCATCCTCCGCATGCGAATCGAGCCGCACGTGTTTCAGCTTCCCTGCGGGGTGCTAGTCGTGTTTACCCTCGTCCTCTTGACCAACCCATTCCAGGCTCACGCCAACAGCACCCACGGTCCTTTTGCGATTTCTGCCTGGCGCCCAGTTTCCAGCTTGGTGTGGGTTGCTAGGGCAGTGTCTCCCGAAGTAGGGGCAAGCGTCTCCCTTCTGATCCTCCGCCTCCCCGCCAGAGGAGGGTACCACGAAGAATTGGACCGACGCCGAATGGGACGAGGAGCTCAAGCACGGCTGGGGCGGCTACGCACCTGGTGCGACCGTGGTGATCGAGGGCATCAAGGCGATGCCGCAGCTCAACGGACGCCAGGGCTATCAACCTCGAGACTCGATGAGGAGGAGGAGGCCCAGAGAACCCTAGCTTCATCGATACTGTGATGTGCCCCCCGCCGCGCTCCCGCGATGGTGTTATGGCGTCTTGCAGCCGTTCTGTGGCTGTCTGTGGCTGTCTTGGGGGCATCTCGAGGCAGAAAAGAGTTCCAGAGAGCACCAACTATAGAGCGAAGTTTTAATGGTGGTGCGGCGGGGGGGCGTGGACCTGGATAAACACATAAGTGCCATCAGACAACTGACCAGTATTCAAACACGCCCCAGACTGCCGAAGGCGCGGTGGCGGATCGTGCCTTGTCGCGTACGGTGTGTTTGTTGAAGTCTCCAGCTGCCAGATTCGAATGATTGCATTGATGATTGATAGTTCATTGTTGGGGGCAGCCTAAGAGATCTCAAGCCACTCCATGGCCCAGAAGAGAAATGATTGAGCAGTCCAGAACGACGCTTCCTGTATGCCCGCACCTACGGCTCCACGGCGGTCGAGCCGCAGCTGAGATGCCCATCTCCCGCCGGGCAAGCGTGGTGGTCCCTCCTCCACCTCTGGATGTCTTCGGAGGCCCTCGGAGACCCGACATTAGAGGGAAAACATTAGCCTGGCGAAGGAGCCAACCATATGCAGTTGTGAATACCGCAAATATGAATATCGTTGTCGGTGGCGCTACCTCTAGGTAGGGGAGACGCATGCGAACACCCCCACTGGGGCCTACGGTGGAGCTCCCTATGAGGCCACGAAACGCTGCCCTGGGTGGGGGAACCGCATGCGGGCACCCCCACTGGGGCCTTCGGTAGAGCTCCCTATGGGGCCACGAAGCGCTGCCCTGGGTGGGGGAACCGCATGCGGGCACCCCCACTGGGGCATTCGGCGGAGCTCCCTATTCAGCTACGAAGCGCTGCCCTGGGTGGGGGAACCGCATGCGGGCACACCCACTGGGGCCTTCGGTGGAGCTCCCTATGGGGCTACGAAACGCTGCCCTGGGTGGGGGAACCGCATGCGGGCACACCCACTGGGGCCTTCGGTGGAGCTCCCTATGGGGCTACGAAGCGCTGCCCTGGGTGGGGGAACCAACCCCCCACTGGGGTGGAGCTCCCTATGAGGCTACGAAACGCTGCCCTGGGTGGGGGAACCGCATGCGGGCACACCCACTGGGGCCTTCGGTGGAGCTCCCTATGGGGCTACGAAGCGCTGCCCTGGGTGGGGGAACCGCATGCGGGCACCCCCCCACTGGGGCCTTCGGTGGAGCTCCCTATGGGGCTACGAAACGCTGCTCTGGGTGGGGGAACCGCATGCGGGCACCCCCACTGGGGCCTACGGTGGAGCTCCCTATGAGGCCACGAGACGCTGCTCTGGGTGGGGGAACCGCATGCGGGCACCCCCACTGGGGCCTTCGGTGGAGCTCCCTATGGGGCTACGAAACGCTGCCCTGGGTGGGGGAACCGCATGCGGGCACCCCCACTGGGGCCTACGGTGGAGCTCCCTATGGGGCTACGAAGCGCTGCCCTGGGTGGAGGAACCGCACGCGGGCAGGAGGAGGGGGGGGTGGGGAGGAGGGGGGAGGAGGAAGGAGGGCGGGAAGGAAGGAAGGAAGGAGGAACGCGGGGCACCGTCTCTTCAAAACGAGGACCCAACACCACAGGATGGTTGGGAAAAACAGTACGTCCGACCACGTCCACATTCGCCCATCCGCTTGGCAACACCGCTCACGCCGGAGACCCCGAGCTAACCGCTCTGACGCGAGCCCTCGGCACTAGACCCGTCGAGCCGCGGGATTCTACCCCCCCACTTGGACGCGCCGGGCTCGTGCTCCCAGGGACGGCTGCAGCAGCGCTCCGTCGTCTGCGTGCAGGTTGCGCCCTGCTTCTGCCGCCTCTCGAAGAAGAAATAACCACACAAGCGTACGCTTTTGGCGCTCCGCGCTGATTTCTTGGGTCCGCGCCAGGGGCGGCGCCGGAGGCGCCGCCGGGGGACCCAGGCGCGAATCCAAGGAATCCGCGCGCAGCACCAAAAGTTTACGTTTATGTGTTTTTTTCTTCTTCTAGCAGCGCTCCATCGTCTGCGTGCAGGTTGCGCCCTGCTTCTGCCGCCTCCAGCTGAGGGCAACGTTGAGAGTACGCCAGGCTCGACGCCAGGCCTGTTGCAGCGTCTTCCCGCGGTGAACAGGCCCGTGCTCTTCCGTGTCCGCCCTGTCGGTGAGCCTCGCCGTCGAGCTGTGTGGCGCCACGTCTCGTTCTGGTGCTGCGCTCGTTTGGCCTTCGTCCAGCCAGAGCTTCCTGAGTGCCGGAGCTATGGTGCGAGAAGAGAGGGATAGCTGGTATGATGCTTCTGAGGTTGGGTGTGAGCCCTTCTGGATCCCGAAATGATGGCTCGTGGTCTCCCGTATGGTCTCACGTTTGGTGGTCTACCGTATGGTCTCCCGTGTGGCCTCCCGTGCGGTTTTACGTCTGGCTTCTTTCATGCCTTGTGGTCACCCCTCTGGCCTCGCGTATCGCCTCCCTTCTGGTATCCCGCCTGGTCTCCCCCAGAGTCTCCGGCACGGTCCCCCAGATCGTCGCCCGTAGGGTCTCCCGCGCGGTCTCCCGCATGGTGTCCCACAGTCTTCTTCCGTGTGGTCGCCCGTATGGTATCCCGTATGGTTTTCTATATGGCCTCCCGTGTAGTCTCCCGCATGGTACCCCGCCTTGCTTCCACATGGCATCCCGTGTGGTCTGTCGTATGGTCTCCTGTATGGTATGCCTTCTGGCTTTCCCCCACCATCTTGTGGCGTTGGGTCTTCGTTCTGAAACGACAGCGCCCCGCGTCACCTCACGTTCTTCCCTCATCCTTCCTCCTCCCATCCCTGCCTCTGCCCTCTGCGTGTCCATTTCGGCACACCCCTCACACGTGTTGTGGCCCCACGGGGAGCTCCACTGAAGGCCCCAGGTGGGGGGGTGAGCACGCGGTTCCCCCGCCCATTTTGGCCCCCCCCGCGCACGTTTCGTAACCTTCAGGGAGCTCCACCGAAGGCCATGGCGGGGGGGCGGGGTCCGCATGCGGTCCCCACGCCCATGTCGGTACACCTCTCGCACATGTCGAGGTCCCGTAACGAATTCCACCGAAGGCCCCACGAGGGGGGTACGCTTGCGGCCCCCCCCTTGCCATTTTCGACACACCCTTCACACACACACACACACACCGTGGCCCCATAGGTAGCTCCACGGAAGACCCCAAGAGGGGTGGGCGGGTCGCATTCGGTCCCCCAGCACATGTCGGCACACCGCTCGCACACTTCGTATCTCCATAGGGAGCCTCACCGAAGCCCTCAATCGGGGGGGTAGCAAAGAGGAGTTTTGTTTCACCCATTTTTGTTTCATCCGCATGTGTGTCGCCCACTGTTGTGTCGCCCGTGTTTGCTCAGTAGACTTTTGTTTCATCCGCTTTTGCTTTGCCCTCCTTCGGTTTCGTCTTCATTCGGGTTCGTCCGTTTTTGTTTCGTTGGCTGTTGTTTCGTCAGCCGTTTGTTTTGTCCGCCGATGTTTCGTCCGATTTGGTCTCGCCCGCTTTCGCTGTGCGTGTTGTTTCTTGTGACAGGGCGAGTTGAAGCCGGGCAGAGTAAAGCCAGGCGAAGCAAAATCGGGCAACTTGAAACCAGGCGAATTCAACATGGGCGAAGCAAAGTTGGGCGAATTAGAACCCGGCGAATCCAAATCGTGCGAATTAAAGAGGGGCGCATTTTAAACGGGCTAATTCGGGCCAGGCGTCTAGCGGGTTAAAACCAGACGAAGTAACATTGGGCAGAATGTAAGCGCATGAACTTTAAAGTTGGGCGGACTTACGCCAGATTAATTTCAATTCGGGTGGGTCTGCGATTCAGGCTGGATTTAGACTTTGTAAAGGGTTCAAATGATTTCTCTTGCATGTCGTAAGCGCAAATACGTAGGTAAGTAAGTAGGACGAGAAAGTCAAATGAAAATTCCAGCGATGCCTACGACATGATAATCCCGTAAGTATCGCGCGAGAGTTCCATGTTGTAAAGGACACGTGTTCTATCCGCCAGCATGTATCGAAATTGGGAGTTCCAGGTAATTGAGTTGGGCGTATTCTTCAACGAAGTCTGCATCTTAACTGCGATTCCGTCTTCATGCTGGTAATTGTTCGGAACATGCACAGTGGAGGTGCTCGGCGCTATTGCGAGATGTCTTTCATGCTGGTAGTTGCTTTAGTTGTTGAGCTTCAATATGGTGCTTCCAAGGGGAGTCTCAAGCGAAACGCCCCGCACGCGCAGAGGACTCCGTGGCCTCTCACGTTCAAGGGATTCCGTGGCCTCTCAAGCGCACGGGATCTCGTCGTCCTTGTCGACGTCTACCTCGTCGTCTTTGCCGTCGTCGTTATTATCGTCTTCGTCGCCCTCTTCATCGCCGTCGTGGTTGTCGTCGCCCCCGTGGTCGTCGTCATCGTCGTCACGTCCGCCCAGTCCGCCCGTTATGGTCTGTCCGCCCGACCCGCCCGCTCAAGTCTGCCCGCCAGAAACGCCTGTCAGGGAAGTCGTCGCCGTCGTCGCTCTCGTCGTCGTCGTCGTCGTCGTTGTCGTCGTCTTGGTCGGCGTCGCAGTCGTCGCCCTCGTCCTCGTCGTCTTTGCCGTCCTCGTCGTCCTCGTCGTCGTCGTTCTTGTTGTCTTCGTCGCCCTGGTCATCGCCGCCGCGGTTGTCGTCGTCGTCGGTCTCGTCGCCCTCGTCGCCGGCGCGGATTGCCACCTGGATGGATCGGGCGCTATTGTATTGTCTCGCCCTCGTCGTCCTCGTCGTCGTCGTTCTTGTTGTCTTCGTCGTTCTCGTAATCGCCGTCGTGGTTTTCGTCGCCATCGTTGTCGGCGTCGACCTCGTGGTCGCCGTCGCCCCTTGGATGTTCAGCTGGGTGGATTACACACCGCTTTCATTCCGCAGATGCCATCTAGACACCACCACCGTGCCCGGCCTGGGCCACCCTGGGCTCCACGATGGTGTACAGACCCTCAAGGCCTTGGCCAGGAGGCGTATACGCCGTGCCAGGGCCCAGGACGGCACTGGCCAGGAAGGGTGGGGGTGTATATAGACGCCTTCTGCGTACGCATGTCCCGCCAGACCCGACCCGCCTGCCCGTCAGGGTCCGCCCAACCCGACCTTCGCCCGCGCCATCGGCCCGCTCGTGACAGCCCGCCCTTCCCGCCCGTTGGGGTCCGCCCGCCCAGCACGCCAGTCAGGGTCGCCGTCGCCGTCGTCGCTCCCATTGCCGTCGTCGTGTTCGTCGTCGTCGTCGCTGGCGTCGTCGTCCTCGGCCTCGTCGGCGTCGCAGTCGTCGCCCTCGTCGTCCTCTTCGTCGTCGTCGTCGTCGCCGTCATCGCGTCGTCTTCGTCGCCATCGTTATCACTGCCGCGGTCGTCGTCGCCATCGTTGTCATCGTAGTCGCCCTCATAGTCGTCGTCGCCCTTGTGGGTTTTCAGCTGGATTGATTGCACAGTTGCCCACTGCTTTGATGTCCCGTTCGACACCCGCCCGCCCGCTCGTTTGAGTTTGCCCGCCCAACCTGCCCGATCCGCCCGTCAGGGCCCACCCGCCCGATCCGCCCGCTAGGGCCCGCCCGACCTGCTCGTAAGGGCCCGCCCGCATGATGCGCCCATCAAGGTCGCCGTCGCCGTCGTCGCACTCATCGTCGTCGTTGTCGTCGTCGTTCTCGCTGGCGCCGCAGTCGTCTTCGCCGTCGTCGTCGTTCTTGTCGTCTTCGTCGCCCGTCATCGCCGTCGTAGTTGTCGGTGCCATCGTCGTCGTCGCCCGCGTGGTCGTCGCCGCCCTCGTGGATGCTCGGATCGATGGATTGCGCACGACTTTAAAGTTCCGCCTCTTCCACATTGCAAGTAATTCGGCTCCCTACGCAGTGCGTAATTCTGATTTCGGTACTTCGTCCAAGCGGTTCTTCGTCATCGAATGGCCAAACTGTGCGCCCGCGAGGTTTCGCTTGATGGTTTCGCATGCTTTTGTTTCGACCGTTTTTGCCCGCTTCGGTACCGCGACCTTTTGGTTCGCCCGCTGTGTTTGCATTGTTTTTGTTTTGTCCGCGCTGGTGTCAGCCGATGCGGATTCGTCCTGGTTGAGTCGCCCGCTTGTGTGATCGTGTGTTGCTCTGTAATGTATGTTTAAATCACTTTGAATTGTTTTGCCCGTTGCCGTTTCTTATTTTATTGTTTCATCCGTTTTGGTTTCGCCCGTTTTTGTTTCGCCCGTGTTGCTTCGCCTGTCGTTGTTTCACCGCGTTTGATTGGTTCGTTTTTGTTTCGCCCGTTTTTGTCGCATCCGCTTTTGATTCGCCCGCTTCTCATTCGCTTGGGCGACTCCGAACCAGGCGAGTCGAAACCGGGCGAATTAGCACTGGGTAGAATTAAATCAGGCGAAGCAAAATTGGGCGAATCGAAACCAGGCAAATCGACGCAGGGCGAATCAGTACAGGGCGATTCCAAAGCGGGTGCATCAATGCGGGCGAATCGAACAGGATTAATTCGAGCATGGACGAGTTCGAACTTGAACTACAACCAGATGAATCTAAGCACTGGCGGATGACAACGAAGCAGTCCGGGTGAATCGAAACGGGGGGCAAAACGGAGGGATCGAAATGGGTACAGTACAATCGGGATGAAACAAATACCGTGGCGAAACTCCCAACCATATGCAGTTGTGAATACCGTCGTTGTGGGTATCGCCTGTGGTGGATCTCCGCATGGGGCCACGATGCATGTGAATGAGGGTGTCGAAATAGCGCGGGGGGTGTAAGCGAACACCACCGGGGGGGCTTTCGGTAGAGCTCCCTTTGGGGACACAAGACGTGTGAGGGGTGCCCTGAAACGGGGCGAGGGAGACGCATTTCCTTCCTCCCACTGGAGCCTTCGGTGGAGTCCCGACGGGGCCACGAAACTATGCGGACATTGGACAGGGGAGGCGCATGTGTACCCTCCCACCACAGCCTTCGGTGGAGCTCATGGGGCCACGAAACGTGTGAGCGATGTGCGAAATGGGGCGTGGGGACGCATGTGAACCCCACACCAGAGCTTTCAGTGGAGCTCCTCATGGGGCCACGGAACGTGTGAGCGGTGTGCTGAAAATGGGCGGGGAGTCGCATGTAGACCCTCTCGTTGGAGCGTCGGTGGAGTTCCCTATTGGGCCACGAAACGTGTGAGTGGTGTGTCGGAATGGGCGGCGGGACCGTATGCGAACTGCGCCATTGGGACTTTCGGTGGAGCTCCCTACGGGCCAACGAAACGTGTGATGGGTATGCCGAAATGCTCGCACGTTTCGTGGCCCCATGAGGAGTTCCACCGAAGCTTTCATAGTGGGTGTCGCATGCGGTCCCCAAGCCAATTTCGTCACCGTTGAATACCATCTACGTTACGCTTATGTGCTGTAAAACTGGCTACAGGAATTTGCCCGTACTCTTATCTTACGGTCGTCTTCCACCAAGGGCGCGTTTGAAAAGCAAGGTGTTCGTAGCTAAGCACTGGGCATTGAATGCACAATGTCGGGTTAAACCACTGTTCACCACCATCCGTCTCTTCCTGGCTGATCTTCGTTACGGTATTATGTGTGGTTCGGGAGTTTGCTTGAGGGGTGTCACAGCCCTCGCACGTTCCATGGACCCACAGGGAGTTCCACGGAAGGCCCCAGTGGCAGTGCCCGCATGCGTCCCCAGGCCCATGTCGGCACACCTCTCACACGCTCCGTGGCCACATGAGGGGTTCCACCGAAGGCCACAGTGGCAGGGCCCTCATGCGCCCCCAGGCCCCTTTCGGCGCACGCCCCACACGCTTCGGGGCCCCTGGTAGCTCCACTGAAGGCGATACGCAAAAGCGCTTCACTCAGAACCTTACTCCCCGCCAGGATAATTGTGTGGTCCCTCGTCTGGTCTCCCGTAGGGGGTAGGCGAACAGACAATACATACCCACACCCATCGGATGGTCCGAGGGAGGACGACTGGCTGTGGGTATGGGTGCGGGCTGTTGGACCTTGGGGGAGGCTTCCCGTTCGAGCGGGCACCCCCATCGGGCAACACGCACCCCTAGCAGTGTTCCCCCCCCCATGGGTACACCTTAGGCGATGCTTAAGAAAACTTAAGTTTTCGGCCAGGGTCTCGATTATTCTTAACGTTTCGATGTAAATCTTTCGATGTTAATAGAAATGTTCGGCTTTTATTCAACTTCTGAGACTATGAATTTCTTAACCCATGATGTCTTAAGCACTTCGCAGGGTGTATGGGTGCATGTTGTTCGTTCGTAGCGGTATCCCGTTGCATACTATCTAAGGTAGTGCTCATCTGTTTTACAGCTGGCTGCAGAAATCCCCCCGAGCTCTAAAGAGCTGGTTCTGGTCGTCTGCCGCCAAGCTTGCTGGTGAAACGGATGGTGTTGTTAAGTTCAGAAGGGGGCATAAGTTGCACAACGTGAGGGGGGAACCCACTTTTCCTCACCACCCGTCTCTGCTTGCTCATCTTAGTCACGGTCTCAGTTGCGTGGTTTGCAAATCTGCCCGAGGAAAGCGCGGGAAGTTACTTCGTTTCGATGGTGCGTCGTTGAGGTGGCAGGTTGAGATCGAAGACGGGCAAGGCACGAAGGCTCTGAAACCCGACAATCTGGTGGTGCAGTTCGAAGACGAGGAGGACGAGTGGGCCGAAGGCGAAGAAGAGGAGTGGGCGGAAGGTGACGAGGAGGAAGAGGACGGAGCTAACGGTGACACTGCAGCACGGGAACCTGTTGCCAAGAAGGCCAAGACCGAGTGATCGTTTCAGATGCGTGTGTACGAGACGGAAAAGAGTGTGCGGATCTTTGTCGATTGTTGCAATGCCGCCGCGGATCTTTTAGGCGCGCTTCCAAAATACGGGCGCCCGCAAGCATTCAAAGGTTCCGCATGGGCACATCTACACATACAGGTGCATGCCTCATGACATGCATACATCCGCAACGCTAGTACCAAGTGTTTGCGAGGGTGGAGGGGCAGGAAGGGTGGTAAGGGGAAGGAGGGGGAAGGAGGGAGAGGGGGTTGACGAGAAATGGTGCGGTGTGGAATTGGTTCGATGTTAAGCGGCTTGTGAATAGGGGAAGGACGGGGAGGGGAAAACAGAGGTTTCGGAGGAGGGGGAGGAGAAGGAGTTTGTGTGTGTTCTTCGCTCACGGAAGCGGGTGGAACTGAAAACGGTTGCTCCACATTCGAGGTTTTGAGTTTTCAGTGTGAGCGTTGATTCCTACAAACGGCTTCGCAAACAGTTTCCATTTTTGGGGCGAGTGATTAGCACGCTTGACGGCCGAGGTCTTTGGTCATTACCGTCGTCTTTGTCATCGTCTTCGCCAACGGTTTTTTGCATGTCCGGCTTATAATGTGCATTGACGTCGCCACTGCGCACACTTCTTGCTAATGCGAGCCTGGTTGCGCCTCTGCGGAGTCGCACTCAATCTCCCGGGAAAACTTAACAACCGTTGTTCTGATGCCAGCGTCGGAGGGTAGGGCCAGAGTGGGAAAGGGCTCGGTCAATTGATTGGTCATCCCTTCCCCATCCCTCCCTTTCCGGCGTTGCCCTGCTCCTTTTCCGTTATCCTCCTGTACCAGTTTCGTGATTTGTTTATTTTTCTTCGTCTTCTATCGTTTGATCTTCTCCCCTCCCAATCATCAGCAGCATACATCATGGCCAAATTGTTATACCTCCTTCGCTTCCTCCTTCCCTTCCAGTTCGACGTTGGCTTCCTCCCCGTCCTCCTCCCCCGCTCCTCCGCCCTCCGCTCCTGTCCTCTCCTCCTCCTCCTCCTCCTCCTCGCCCTTCGCCCTTCGCCCTTCTCCGCTCTCGCTTCTCCGCCCTCCTCATCCTCGCCCTCACCCTCCTTACAAATCCTCCTCCTCCTCCTCCTCCTCCTCCTCCCCCTCCTCCTCCTCCTCCTCCTCCTCCTCCTCCTTCTCCTCCTCCTCCTCCTCCTCCGTTCCGTCCTCTTCCTCAACTTCCGCCCCCCACCCGCCGACGCTGTCCTCCTCCCGCTCCTCCTCCTCATTTTGACGTTCGACCACCTAGAGGCGACAGCCTGGAGCGTGCAAATCCTCCTCCTCATCCTCCTCCTCCTCCTCCTCCTCCTCCTCCTCCTCCTCCACCCCCGCCTCCCTACAGCGCTCCTCCCCCTCCCCCCCTCCTCGCTCCCTCCGCCCCCCCTCGCTCCTCGCTCGCCAGTGGCCCCGCGGCGGCGCGCACCGCCCGACCGCGCGCGCGCGCGAGGCCCCTGGGAGGGCCTCCTTCCCCCCTGACGGGGGGGGGCCTTCGCCTCGCGCGCCGCGGGCCAACGCCCGCCATGCGCCCCGGCGGCAGGGGCCCCGCTGCCGCTGCCGAGGATGTCGGGGCGGCCTTGGGCGGGCGGCCGTGGGCGGCCGACGCATCGGCGGCGAGCCCACCGGGCCGCGGCGACGACGACGGACGACGGCGACGACGGCGACGACGGCGACGACGACGACGACGACGACGACGACGACGGACGACGACGACGACGACGACGACGACGACGACGACGAAGACGACGACGACGACGACGGCGTTGACGACGACGACGACGACGACGACGACGACGACGACGACGACGACGACGGACGACGGCGACGACGACGGACGGACGGACGGACGGACGGACGGACGGGCGGACAGACAAAAGACGACGACGACGACGCGGGCGGATGGGTGACAGGCGTCCAGGAGCGGCGGCGGCTTGTTGGCGAGGGCCCGCAGCCTGCCGTGTTATGTGTTCTCTCTCTGTCTCTCTCTCTCTCTCTCTCTCTCTCTTTGTGTCTCTCTGTCTCCCTCTCTATATCTCTCTCCCTCTCTCTCTCTACCTATCTCTCTCTCTCTCTCTCTCCCTCCTTCTCTCTCCCTCCTTCTCTCTCTCTCTCTCTCTCTCTCTCTCTCCCTTTCGGTTTGTCTGATGTGTACACATGTATGTTGTTATCCCCCCCTCTCTCACACACTCTCCCTCGCATGGTGTTTGCCTTATGTCTATATATAGATGTGTTGTCTCTTGCTATATCTCTCTCTCTCTCTCGCTTGTTGCTCTCTCTCTCTCTCCCTATGTGGTTCTCTGTAGTTGTCTCTCTTCCTCTCTTTCTCTCTCTCTCTCTTCCTCTCTTCCTCTCTTCATCTCTCTTCCTCTCTCTCTCTCTCTCTCCGTTGCTCTCTCTGTCCCCCTTTTTCTCGCTCTCTCTATCTCTCTTTCTTTAGGTGTGTCGCATTTCTCAGTCCCTCTCTCTCTCTGCTGCTCTCTTTGTTTTTTTCTCTCTCTCTCTCTCTCTCTCTGTCTCTCTCACTTTCTTACTCGCTTTCTCGTTATGCTGCTACACATATATATATATATAGGTATACCTCTCTCTATCTCGGTGTGTTTATTTCGCCTGATATGTATGCGCATGAGTCTGAGCATGAGCGCGTCTGAGTGCAAGTGATCTTGCGTACGACTGAGTCTGAGGGCTGGCGAATCGAAATGCATGAAAGTACATCCGAATGTGTGTGAGTCTCAGTGTGAGCGAGCCTTGGAGCGAGCGAGTCTGAAGGGGAGTGAGCCTGAATACACCCTGCCGGGTTAGTGATTGAGTTTGTTTGCGAGCGAGTCTGGGGTGAGCGCATCCACAGAATTTGGGCGCGAATCTTGGATTGTCCTAACCCGTGGCGCCCCCCTTCGGGGTGCTGAAACCAGCGCTTCGGCTGAGACATCCCCAGAATCTGCTCAGGCAGCAGGGGGTGGTACGGTCCGGAGCAGGCAAACCGCTTGAGACATCCCCACAATCTATTCGCGAATCCTGGAGTGTTCCCACCTCTGGCGCCCCCCTTATGAGTGCTGGAACCAGCGCCTCGCCTGAGATATCCTCAGAATCTGCTCCGGAAGCTGAGGCTGCAGAAGAAGCGAGACGGCGAGAAGTCAAAAAAATTGTGATGTCCATTTGGGTTGTCGAAGGAGATGTGTTTCTTGGGCGCCTCTTTGGGAGGCGATGTGGCCACATTGAGGTCCCCTTGCAGCTGTATTGGGTCCTATTTGAGGCCATCTTGAGCGATCCTGCACAATCGTTGGCAATCTTGGAGTTCCTCTTGGGCTTTGTGAAGCCCTCTTGGGCCATCTTGAATCATCTTAAGCGTTCTGCCTGCTGCACACACACACACACCGCAACCCCCCCCCCAGACCCGTGGGGAGGGGGGAGGGGGCGGGGTACGGGTAGACCCCTCCCCGAGGGGGAAGAAGGGGGTTGGGATAATAATTGCTTCGAACCAGATAAATACGCCCTGGGAGGATGGTTGGATTCAGAGAGCGACGAGTAGTTTAATGAGCATTGGCAGTGTGCTCTTCAGCTGGTTTGGGAGGGTGCTGCCTGGTTCGTCCCAGAGGTATGGGAGGGGTGCTGCCTGCGCGTCGTGACATGGCGTTGAGTGCGAGGCTTCCCGCGCGCCGCCGCCCCGTGCATGCGGCGGGGATTCGCCCTGTCACCTGCACGACGTTTCAGATTCGCAGACGGCGCGCGGTTCGAGCTGTGTGTGCATAGCGCGGTGCAGGTAGGCTCCCCGTCAGGCCTCTTCGCCCGGGCATGGCACACGCACACACACACACACACACACACACACACACACACACATTGCATTCCACCTACGGCCTAGAAGGCTCTCGGCGGCGAATTTCGGTTGATTGGGCAGGAGGATCTCGGCCATCTGGCACTCCTCCAATCGGTTCGCCCGAGCGCAGTACTGCGTTCCTCCTATGGCCTGGAGGGTGTTCACCGAGGAAGTGGTGTTCATTTTATCTCGGCTGTTCGCAGGGCTTTTGCGGGGCTTGCTGGTGGTGCGTATGAAAGGCTCGGGCCTGAGCTGCCTGCGCGGCGTATCCGTTCGCAGAGTGCAAGGCTTCCTGCACACCGCTGCCAAGGGCATGTGGCGGGGATTCGCCATGCACCTGCACGATTTGGCTTGAAGCGGTTAGCACATAGTCGCAGACATTTCGTGCTTCCCGAGGACAATAAGCCTGGCTTGTCGTACCACTCACGCTGGCCTCTGAAGAGGGCGAGACCTCGGCCGACACGTCTGGCGCCCTCCGACTACAAGTAGTCCACCCCGGCTTCGATGCGTCGCGGGTGGCAGTTGCGCGTGGGAGTCCCTGCCTTTCCTACTCGCCCGCCTCCGCCCCCACACTCTCCTTCTCCTCCTCCTCCTCCTCCTCCTCCTCCTCCTCCTCCTCCTCCTCCTCCTCCGTATTCAGTTTGGCTCGAGCTGCTGTTGGTTCGAATCTTCGTTCGAGCAAGCGACCCAGCGGCCTCTGCCGCCTGCGATTCTGCGGCCGCGATGGCCTATGCGCCCGCGGCGGTTGCCTCCTCGCCCCCCCCCGCCGCTCTGTGCTCGGCGGGGCCGGCCCTGACGTCACTTAGAGGCCCGACTCGAACCTCGAATTGTCCCAAGTATCGCTGTCTCTTGTTCGCCCAGCTATCCGCAACGATAGCTCGGAGCGAATCGCTCGAGAGATCAATCGTGGACACGTCGCCCAATCGCAATCTACCCGCGGAGGCAACCCTTTCTGCGCATCGTGGGCGGCGCGCCGAGGTTTTTGGGGGGAAGTGGGAGGGGGCAGGGCCGTCTCGGAAGGCGGCGGGGCCTCTCGGAAGCCCTCCTGCCTTCTGATCAGCCCTCCGTGGCTTCGTGGTGGGCTCCTCAGAAGGCCGGAGGCCGTCTGAGCTTCCTGGGAAGGCCCGCCCCCTCTGATGTCCGCCGATCTGATTTTCCCAATCCGCGGCCCATAGTTTTGCGCCCTGGGTCCGTTTCTGATGCTCCGCGACCCCGGATGCCGAGATCGAAGGAAAGCGCCGGGGCTCAAAAAAGAGATCACATATGTCGTCGAAGATCTGGCTAGGCTCTGCCTTCCTCCCCATGGGCCCGCCGCCGATGATGACTCGGCAGCTCCAGGCGGGCCTTGTTTATTGATTGTTTTGCCGATCGGCGCGGGCCCCCCCCCCCCCCCTCGCCCCCCACTCATGGAGTAGATCCTGGCTGTTCTGGGCGCCTGTTTCAGACTGTTGGAGCCTCCTCCCATAGGACCCAGTGCTGCAAGCAGTCGCACTACGAGCAGAGGTCCGGAGCCAGAGCCCCCCCCCCTCCGCCCAAAGTCGAAACGCCGAATGAAAAAAAACGCTCACCAGGCGGGCCTCTGATCAGGTGCCTCCTGTCGCCGGCGAGCGAGGGGCGAGGGGGGGAAGTGAGAAGTGGCGGGCCTTCTCAGAAGGCTCGGAAGTCCGTGGGGGCTTCTGAGAAGTTTCCCGAGCCTTCGCCGAAGACAGGGACAAACTCCTCGGAAGGCGCGAGGGCTCTCAGAAGTCCCGCCGCCTTATGAGAAGGCCTGCTCCTTCTCATTTCCCCCCCGTCGCTCGCCGCCGATCCTGGGCGCCGCCCACCGCCGGACCTGCGGACGGGCCGGCCCACGGGCCTCGCCCACGGGCCCTGGCCCGCTGCTCCCAGCGGCGGCGGCAGGGGCCCCTCAAGGGGCCACGAGGAGGGGTGGCGGCGACAGGCTCGCAGGGGGGGAGTGCTGCGTCGACCCACAATCGCCCACCGATGGCCAATCATCGGCCCTCAATCGCCCTCCTCCTCCCTCCTCCTCCTCCTCCTCCTCCTCCTCCTCTCCTCCTCCTCCTCCTCCTCATCCTCCTCCTCTCCCTCCTCCTCCTCCTCCTCCTCCTCCTCCTCCTCCTCCTCCTCCTCCTCCTCCTCCTCCTCCTCCTCCTCCTCCTCCTCCTCCTCCTCCTCCTCCTCCCTCCTCCTCCTCCTCCTCCTCCTCCTCCTCCCTCCTCCTCCTCTCTCCTCCTCCTCCTCGCTTCCTCCTCCTCTTCCTCCCGCCCTCCTCCTCCTCCTTCTCCTCCTCGCTTCCTCCTTCCTCCTCCTCCTCTCCTCCCGCCTCCTCGTCCTCCTCCTCCTCCTCCTCCTCCTCCTCCTCCTCCTCCTCTTGTCCTCCTTCTTCTCGTCCTCCTCCTCCTCCTCCTCCTCCTCCTCCTCCTCCTCTTCCTCCTCCTCCTCCTCCTCCTCCTCCTCCTCCTCCCCCTCCTCATCCGCCTCGCCCTCCTCCTTCGCCTCGCCGATAGACCACCCCGCCCAGGAACGCAGGAACGTCCAGTTTCGCTCTCGGTGGCCTGGCGCCGGTCTATCGGCGGTGTGTCGCCGATTCCAGGTAGATGTTTGACCCCCTTGTGCCGGTCCCTCCCCCCTCCCCCCTCCCCCTCAGGAGGGGGAGGGGGGGGAAATGGAGGAGGAGGAGGAGGAGGAGGAGGAAGACCAGTGTAAACCCAAGAGCCATCAACGATGTTGGAATACACCCTCCCTCTTAGGTCCCTCATCATGGGACCCTACAACGGTTCATTACCATTGAGGGAGCTGCCTCGTTGGAAGACAGCCGTTTTAAGACCTGGAAGCATGCCAACACGTTGTTCTCGGGATCCCAACGCCACGGATCAACCTGACTGTTGCGTCTTGACTATCCTGGATCGTGCCAGAACGTCATTCTTGGGACGTCAACACCGCGAAGTAACGTAATTTGTCGCACCCGCAAAATCTTGAATCTCTCCAAAACGCAATTTCTGGTACGTTGATCGCGGAAATCCGTGAAACTCTTGCAAATGATATGAGCGAATACGCGCTCCATTTTGAAAAGGAGCCGTTTTCAATCCGTAAAAATCTGACAAATGTTGTATAACGAATGTGCGCGGCGCTAAGGCGAGAGGCACATTTTGAAAACGGGTTATCTTCAATCCGTGAAGATCTAGCAATTGTTCAAACGAATGTGCGCGGCGCTGGGGCGAGAGCCACATGTTGAAAACGGGTTATCCTCAATCCGTGAACCTCTGGCAACTGCTTAGAACAAATTTGCGCGACGCGAAAGCGAAAACCACATGTTGAAAACCACCCCCATCCGTGAAACTGTTGCTAACCTTTAAGCTTCAGAATCATAAATGGTGAGGAATTCTCAGGCGAAGTGCCTGGCCCGCCCTCAAAACGGGCCTCGGGATGCGACAGGGAGAAGTTGTTTATAAGGAAAAGGAAAGGAGAAGGACGAGGAGGACGAGGAGGAGGATTAGGAGAAGGAGGAGGAGGGAGGAGGAGGAGAAGGAGGAGGAGGGAGGAGGAGGAGGAGGAGGAGGAGAGGAGGAGGAAGAGGAGGAGGAGGAGGAGAAGGAGGACGAGGAGGAGGAGATGGAGGAGGAGGAGGAGGAGGGGAGGAGGGAGGAGAGGAGGAGGAGGAGGAGGAGGTGGAGGAGAGGGAGGAGGACCAGTGCAGACCAACCCAAGACGCATCGACGATGTTGCCAGTCCCCCCCCCTCGTTGCCCCCCAGGCCCGCGCGCGACCAGCCAGCATGACAGCGCGACGCAGAGCACCCGCGAGAGCACGACTGGCCCCTGCGGCGAGCAGGGCGCGGCGCCAGGCGCTGGAGGCTCCGGCGAGCCGCCCGAGGCGCGTCGGGTCTGCGCGGCAGAGCGGCCCTTGGTCAAGCAGTGGCGAAGCGTCCCAGTTCGCCTACAGGCCTACCAAAGAAGAACATTTTTCCTATTAGAACATTGTTTTTGCGATTAGAACATTGTTGGGTTCTAAGAGCACTTCGTGTAGGCCTAGAGGAATGCCGGGACGGTCGGTCCCTGCTCAAGTTGGCCGGAGGGACCCTTGGGTGCGAGCCCGCGGGGGCCCTCCCAGCTTCGAGCCGGCTGGGGGTCTGAGGTGGCCCACAGCCGTTGTTTCTGGCGGGCAGGACGGGGGGGGGTGGGGGTAGGTTCGATGTTCTGAGGGTTCGGAGCTGTGGTTTGCCGTCTTCGGCCCTCGGGGGCGGTTTCGGGCCCCAGGACCGTGAAAGACAGGTCTGGGGTGAAACACTGCACCAGATGAGCCCCCAGGGGGGTCGGGGCACCGAGTTTGAGCTTCACCCCCCCCCCACTCCTGGTCAAATTTTGGGCATCATCCAGTTAAGGCCCCCAGCCGCATCCAACTCCCAGCACTGGCTGGTGTGCTTGGTGATGACCTCTGTGCTGTAGGCCTCCTGGATGGGGTCCGAGTAGATGGGGTCGGAGGATCGCGCCGCATCGGCGGTGCATCGGCGCGATGCGGCCCGATGTGGAGCCCGATGCCCTCCGCGCTGGCGTCGCGGATGCACCGCCGACGTCGCCGATGCATCGCCTATGCGGCGCGATCCCCCGATCTCATCTACTCTCGGGCGAAGCGGGCGATGCACATGCACTGATCTTGGCCAGGCACATCCTGGGCCCAGGGTGGGCCTGGCCGGAGTCGGTGCATGTGCACAGTTATCTTTCCTGGGCTACTCGGGACCCCGTCCGGGAGGCCTTCATCGGTGCGGGCCCACGGGAGTCCTCTCAGCACCGGCCGGTGCGCTCGGTGTGGGCCGCTATTTTGCGGCACAGGCTTCCGGGCGGCTCCGCCGCCCGGCCCAGGTCCGTGCGAGCTCAGCCCGCGGAGCCCTCCCGGGGTCCAGGCGGATCCCTTCTTCGAGGCGGGCCCCGGCCGTGGCGGCGAGGAGGCCCCCTCAGGGCGCCAGGGGACGGGGGCACAGCAGGCGGGGGCACGGGGAACGCCGATCTCCACGTGTGGCGGTGCCCCCGTTTCGGGGGGCCCTGGGCGCCATCGACGGGGGCACAGGAAACGGGGGGCCTGTGGAAGAGCCTGAGATCCCTCGTTTGGCCAGGCCCGCTTTTCACGAAGCCCCGACCCCCACAGGAGGCCACCACACTGGGCCACCACTGGGCCACCAGGGAGGGCGGCCGTGGTCTCGACCTGGCCCTCCCCCGACGGATGCCGCGCCTGGGGCCGCGCCTGCCTCTTCGGGGTCGCCCTCTGGCTGCCTCTAGCCGACAGGCCAAGACATCCAGCGTTTCGATGTGCTGTTCAAGCCGCGGGCCCGCGACCTCTCGACCAGGGCTGGACCTAAGCGCGGTTTTCCTGGCCTTCGGCTGTGCTCTATTTTTTCCGTTTGGGGAGGGAGGTACAGGAAAGTAGGTCGAGCAACACGAAAAACAAAACGAAAAAAAAGGTTTAGGTCCAGCCCTGCTCTCGACCATCTTCCCAGGACCGGCTTCTCATCCCGAGTCGTTGTCGACGGCCCCGGGCCCCGGTGAGGGCCCCAGGAGGCTGAAATATATGCAACGCCGTCGTCTCGATTCTTTCGAGGCGCCAGACGTCTGGGGAGGCGGCGGGGCGTCCCTGTGAGATCCGACGTTGCAGGAAATTGCAGCATGGCGATGGAGCCAAGACTGGAGCCCTATAGACCCCATCGGTCTGCGCCGCTTTTCGAGCCGGATGGACCCGGGAGGGCCCCGCGGGGCCTGAAGCCGAGCGAAGACGCCCGCTGCGAACAAAACGTGCAACGCCCGGCTCTTGTAGTTGTAGGGCTTGCGTGTATAGCCGACTATCAGGCGGCGGGGCGCGGTGCGGGAGGCCGCTCCGGCCGCTCCGGCTTCCTCCGGCGCCAGCGCCACCGACGCGCGAAGGCGCAGCGGGCGGCGCAGGGCGAGGCGGGAGGGCGGCCCGAGGCCTCGGGCGGCGAGTGGGCGGCCCTGGCGGCCGCGCTCGAGCGCGGCGGCGGCGCGAGAGCCGCAGCGGTTAGGAGCCTGCGCGGCTCCGTGCTGCGCCTGTCCTTCGAACAGCAGGTGCTCCTCCTCCTCCTCCTCCTCCTCCTCCTCTCTCCTCCTCCTCCTCCTCCTCCTCCTCCTCCTCCTCCTCCTCCCCCTCCTCCTCCTCCGCCTCCTCCTCCGCCTCCTCCTCCTCCCCTTCCTCCACCTCCTCCTGTCCCCCTCCTCCTCCTCCTCCTCCTCCTCCTCCTCCTCCTCCTCCTCCTCCTCCACCTCCTCATTCAGAGCCGGCGGGGGGTCGGAGGTGGCCCAGCACTGGTTCTGGCCAGCGGGGAGGGCGGGCAGGTTCGAGGTTCTGGGCCTCTGGGGCCCGCCTTCTGGCCCCAGGACCGTGACAAGCGGATCTGGGGGGAAAACCTGCATCAGATGGACCCCCGGAGGTGTCCGGGGGCCAACTGTGAGCGGATTTGGCTTCTTCTCCCCGACTCTTGGCCGATGTTTTGGGGTTCCATCCAGCTCAGACCACCCGGCCGCCTCCGCACCGCAGGGATGCCGCGCCGTGCAGACGGCCCTGCAGTGGGCCCCAAGGGACGAGGCGGTGGGGATCGCGTCGGAGCTGCGCGGGCACGTGCGGAGGGCCACTCCGGAGGAGAGCCACGTCGAGACGGCGGTGGCTCGGCCCGGCGCGTTTCGTTCTGGTCTGCGCCTCCTGCCGGCTTCCTCGTCGCCGCGGCCGGATCCGCCTCGAGGAGCGGGCCAGGATGGGGGCCAGGAGTCAAGGGAGGAAAAACCATCCGGACCCGATGATTGGCGTTTACCGAACGGCCCCTGGCGTTCACCGAGCAGCCCTGCCCTGATCGGTTCCTGTCTTGGATGTGTGTTCGCTAAACGGCCTCGCCTGTCTGGGTGGTTACTCTTGGGGGGGGGGGATGTCCTGCCCTCTCGGGAGGGGTCTGGGAGCCAGTCTTGAGCGGGCCTGGGCAGGGCGACAGAGCCACCGTTGTGTCAGCGGGCCACCCTCCGGGCCATGGGCTCGCCACACGCGAACTACGTCGTCCAGAAGGCGATGACGGGCGGGGAGCGGTATGGCATGGACTGTTGCGCTGTCGGGGGCGCCTGCCCCAGGGCGGCTGGAAAGTTTCTGCCCTTACGGTGGCGAGTCAAGGTCGTAAACTGTTTGGCCGCCCTGGGGCAGTCGCCCCCGACAGCGAAAAAGTGTACTTCATACCGTTACTCGTCTGCGAAAGGTGGTGCAGGCACTTCCGGCAGCGCTCTCGGTCTTCGTGGCCACAGAGCTTGCGGGTGCGGGCGTCGAGGCTGCGCGGCACAGGTTCGGATGCCGTATCGTGTGCCGGCTGATCGAGCACACGGCGCTGAGCGCAGAGACGTCGGCGTTGCTCGAAGAGATCCTCGCCGAAGCTGACAAACTCAGCCGCCACACATTTGGCCACCACGTGGTGCAGTCCATCCTCGAGCATGGGCAGCCCCAGCAGCGTGCAATGGTAGTCGAATCCCTTCGTGGGGACCTGTTGCGATGCTCGCTGAATCGCAACTCCAGCCACGTCGTTGATAAGGCGCTGACATACTGTGGCCCACCAGACCGCGACGCCATGGCAGCGGAGCTGCTGGCGTGTCCTGACAACCTGCTGCAGCTCGCCAAGTGTCAGTTCGGATTCCACGTCGTCAGGGCGATCACCATGGTGCCCAGCCGCCACGCGAAGATGGTCCTTGACACGATTGAGTGCGAGGCGGCGCTGATAAGGGAATCGAGGTACGGGCAACGGCTTCTTGAGGACCTCAGGTTGGATGTGGCGTAGCAGCGCAGTGGGGTGGGACTCGGGAGTCGGTGGCAGGGGGAGGGGGCGGCCAGCCAGCCAGTATAGTAGTCGGAGCTCCGGGGGGCAGGGGGCAGGGGGCGAAACCCTCCGGAGGCAGGAGTCCCGGACGTCGGGTCGGAAGCGGGGGAGGGCCGTGCTGCAGGCGTCGCGGGCGAATGTTCCTTCCGCCATGGAGGAAGCGGGTCTTTGGGGACACGGGTCCGAGTTCCTGGAGCTTCTCCGGAGGCTTGTCCTCAGAAGATTGCGAACGGAATCGGCTCCTCATTTCCGCAAGGACCCGCGTCCTCCATGCTAATGTTTTGTGCCAGTCTCGGCCCCTGCTGGTGAGCAGCTGCTCGCAGCACCCGTCCGGGGGGGAATGGTCAACCGTTGTACAGTGTACAGAGAAGACGAGCCTTGCACCAGCCGAGCCTCACAAAAACGGAGTGTTGAATGTGGCCGCAGTCTTGATCTCGAGGAGCAAGGGATCCCCTGCATCCTTCGAGCCCAGGCTCCCCTGGTATCCATGGCGCTCTTCTTCTTTCTTAGCATTATTAATAATATAATTGTTCGTCTCCTTCTTCTTGTCATCCATTGGCCTGCTCTAGATGCCCCGCCCTTTCTGCCGAATTTCGACTGTAAGCATCCCTTGCAGCGAATGCCCTAGCATCCTCGGCGTCCTTACACTTGGCATCCTTGTTCTTAGTTGGCGCGTTTCAGGCGCATCCTATCCTCACGATCGCCCTATCTGAAGGTCATGGTTGACATCGTCATCACCACCATCATCATCGGTCCGCACCAGATTCGGCTCAATCCGTTTCAGTTAGCCCCAGCTTCGCCTCCCCAAATCGCCTATGAATCGCCAACAGGGGCCCGAATCCCCTCCTTGCCCACGAAAGTCCAGACTTACTATCGAGAGCCGATCATCGATGTGTCGTCAATTGAAGGCCAGGGCCGACCACAACGCTGTTTAGCTTGGATTGAGCCTTTGTATTGTTGTTCGTTTCGTTTATCATTTCTGTGTTGGTTCGTTGTTGGTTGTGGGTGCAAACGTCTGATTTCGTGTTTCGTTTCGTTTGGCACCAGTTCC